CAATGGCTCCCTCAAGGTGGAGCTGAACAATGGCGCCCAAAATTACCCCAACTGGACGTCGCTGACCATCACTCCGCTCGCCTTCAACGCCACTACCTTCAGCTGCAAGCTGATCATCTACGACTATGAGCAGAAGACCACTGTCAGCATCTACCCAACTCCCGACCGGGCCCTCACGGTGAAGGTCCTTCCTCAGGCGGTGCTCACCACCAATGTGACCTACGTTGAAAAGAACAAACCTTTCACGGCCACTTGCAAGGTGGCCCTTCCCGGGTGCTCCTCGCTGAAGGTCAACTTCTACAAAGCCTCGGAGGGGCTGATTGCCAGCTATGAGATGGTGGACAGTGTTGCCCGGCCTAATGACACCGTTTTGACTATTGTTGATCAAGGTGAGAAGCCCAACTCGCTAGCTTCCGTCTCCGCCGGCCACGCCCACGCCTACCCGACCTTTGACCTGGTGATCAGTCAGGCGGATGACCGGTATGACCTCTACTGGTGCGAGGTAGTGGGAGAGGGCGTGAAAGGGTTGCCACTTAAAAGTGAGTCAACAACTTTGGCGTCCACCTCGGCCAGGTGGCCCCTCGTTCCAGTGCTGACCTTTGACCTGAAGGAGGACCCAGCGGACAGAAGCGAGACGACTGCCAGCTGCGAGGTGCACAACTTTGCTCCAGCCAAAGCTGGCCGCCCATTCACGGTAGTCTTTCGCGAGTTCTATCACATCTTCCCGCAAGAGTACCTTGTGGCCACCTTTTCGGTAAATCGTAAGCAGTTCCCAACTTTGTATTTTTAAATTTTTACAAAATTTTTAATTTGTTTGTTTAATTTTAGCTGCCGCCCACCTGACCACGATTCACTACCGACGGGATCGCCTTATTCTGGGGCCGGTGGCCACTACTGGAAGCAACCCCAGCTTTCCCCGCTTTTTTGCCATCAAGAAGGTCACCACCAGCGGTCCTAGCAGCACCTCCTGGTACTGTGAGCTGCAGTACTTTCCCGTAGGAGAAGAGGGTGAAGAGGGCGTTAATAAAAGTGAAGAGCCAAAGTCTATCTTCTCCAACACAATTAAAATTTAATTTAGTTTAGTTTTGTTTGAAGAAAAAATGGCAAAGATACCGTTTTTGTACTGCAAAAAAATGAAAAACAATTTAACAGTTTTTGAATTAAAATAAAAATAAATGCCAATAAGTTTATTTATTTTTTTTATTTGAGAAAAAATGATGAGTTTGCAGTTTTGATGTTTGACTAGTATTCAGTGTTTAAAAGTAGAACTTTTTTAAATTTTTGCAAAAAATCGAACAGTTATTTTTGTTGTAAGACTGAATAAAAGCGTCATCACAGGCAGCCTGTGAATCACATCTTTTTACTTGTTACTGCCTTGTCGTTTGCTTACGTGTACTTTCAGTCTTTTTCAAACTCAGTGCAAACTCACTCTTTCACCACCACCATCAACTTATCCCTCTTCCCTCAGCCATCAAGACTCTTCAGTGGACTGGTGAAAATGAAAAAGATAATCTTAACGCTGTCTTTCAGCCTTCTCCTGCTGCTGGGCACTGCTGTCCCGAAGAGTGACCAGGAGGACAGCAAGGCAGCTCTTGCCGCGGTAAGGCTGACGTCTTCTATCTCCCGTCTTCAACTTACCACTGTTTTCTCTGACCAGGAACTGCTGACCAAGCTCAAGTCGAGTCAGGTGAAGGTCATCGCGGCGGGGCACGTCTCCGGTCAGCTGGCCCTCTTCATCAGCGGCTCAGGCAGCAAGACGGACTTCAGCGGCGGCTATCAGGTGACGGTGGGCAGCGACCCGGGCGATGGCCGATTCGATGTGGACAGTGTGGAGAAGCTGGCCGGCAAGTACTCGGGCTTCGGCAAGGCCACCGACAGCATGTTCCTCTGCAGCGACTCGGACAGCAGCAGCAGTCTGATTGCTATGGACAACGACAATGTGTGGGCGTTCAACCTGGGCCAGAACAAGTTGACCCGGTTGAATATTGCTAATGAGGACATGCATAGTTGCTACCAAAATGAAATCAAATTTTTTTCCTCAAACAAGCCAAAAACTTACTTTCGACTAAACTCAAGTAATTATGTGACGCTGACTTTTTTTTCTGGCGAAACTATTGCGTCGTCTCCTGGTTGCTCTATTCTTAAAAATTTGGGAAATTTTTGCAAGAAAGACGCCGAGATTTCCATCTCCTCCTCCTGCTCTGGATCGCCACCGTCGGACATCACCGCCGGCTACGTGGGCGACAGCAAGGCCTACCTCTTCGACAAGGACAACGCCGTCTACTACTTTGACGCCTCCATCTTTCAGGGTGGCGGCCAGCAGTCGGTCAAACTGACCAAGGTCCCAAGCTTCCAGGCTTGGTTCACCCTCGCCTCCATCAGCACAGCAAATCCACACGGTAAATCACTCTACAAAATCCCCCTTTTCCCTTATAAAATTACCAACTATTTTCTTCCAATTTTGCTCAGAATTGAGCACCACTGCCAAAGGCGGCATTGCCATCACAACGATTATCATTATCGTCGTCGTCGCTCTTCTCATCCTGTGCATCCTTGCTGGGGTCGTTTATTACTTCAAGTACGACAAGAAAGAAGAAGACGGCGACGACAAGGGCAAGAAGAAAAAGGACAAGAAGGAGAAGGGCTCAAAGAGTGGCAGTGGCAGTGGGGCCAACCGAAAGTCAGGACAGAAGTCATCCAGCTCACAAGGGGAAGGGAAAAAGAAGAAGGAGAAATCAAAAAGCGGCGCCACACCTTCCGCCAAGACCGGCACCGGAAGACGACGAAGAGGAAGTCGCCGCTCACGGCCGAGCAAGAGCACCACGGTCAAGTCGAGTAAACAAAATACACGCAAACACTTTTTTAGAACTTTTTCAATCTCACTTTTTCCTTCTTCTTTTTCTTTTACGTAGAGCCCAGCGGAGTTGAGAGCAAGGTGTCTAACCAAGGGGAACGTTCCAGCTCGGTTGAGGGCGGTGGAGGAGTTCCAACAAAGTCGCCCAAGGCCAAGACCGTCGCCGTCGCTCCAAAGGGCAAGCGATTTTCCGGCAGCAATCGAGGCCTCAAAAAGCTTCCGGGCGGTAAGCTGAAGAGCAAAACGGGAGCAAAGGTTCCAGCCGTGGTTTCAGGCACCTCTCCGGCTCCAACGGCCCAAGCTCCGGCGGTCCCAGCAGCCCCAGCTGCCGTCAGTCCTGCTCCGGCTGAAGACCCAAAGAAGGTGGCACCAGCAGCAGTTGATGCTAGCTCCAGCAAAAATGTCGCCGCCGCCGCCGCCGCCGCCGCCGCTCGTCCTCGAGCCTCCTCCTCTCGTCAAGGAAACAAGTCAGGCCAAATGAAGAGGAAGAGGTCCAGCAAGAAGCGCGTCAGCTCGGGTCGAAAGAAGTCAAAGAAGCGCAGCTCCGAGAAGAAGAAGAAGCGCTCCAAGTCAAAAGGAGGTCGTGGCCACAGTCGTCGAGGCAGCAAGGGAAGTCGAGGTCGCCACTCGAAGACCAGAACTCCCAAGGGAGGAGGCGGGGCTCAACAGCCGAAACTACCCGGGCCACCGGGTGTTCAGGCGGACCTGAAGATGAAGTCGCTGGAGAACCTGGGCCTGGCCGGTGGTCCCGGCGCTCCCAAGACCGAGCAGCCGCCGCCCTCCACTTCCGGTCCTCAGGGTGCTCCTCCTCCGCCCATGAGTGACGATGTGCCCTCGGACGAACTGCCACCAGAGTAGCCGGCAAGTAGCCGGGCCAAGGCAAAGTCCAAGGCTTTGGTTCACAGCAGCGCAGCAGCAACACTCAACTTCAACTTCTGCAAAAGTTGTTGTTGCTGGTGGTGGTGGTGGTGGTGGACTTTATTACCATCTTCTTCTTTTTCTCCATTTTTCCTGGAGCACACATTCTTGCTCAGCAGCAGCAGCAACTTTTTTTACTTTTGCAGGCAACTTGTTGTTTTCTTCTTTTGCTGCCGCTGCTGCGGCTCATTTTTTTCAGATGTTGTTGTATCTTTTTTAACTGTTTTTAATTCTCACTCTCCATTTTCACTTCCACTACTGTCACCACCACCACCACCATCACTACCACCGCTGCTGTCGCTTTTTGAAATTCTATTTTAATTTTACTTTTACTGTTAACATTAAAAAATTAAAATCTAACTTTACTAAAAAATGATGTTTCTCTCTCTGCACGCACTTTTTTGCTTCTATAAATTACATCGTTTAAGATATCGAGAGACGGTTTTCACACAATAAACAAGCTAAATGGCATCTTTCAAATGGTATCAAATTTGAGGTGATTCGAACACCAAGTGCATTTTTTATTAAAATTTTTTAAGTGTTTTTTACTTTTAAAAATGGAAAACAGCAAAAAAAAATATTTTCAAGTTTTTAATTTCTCTTTCAAGTTTTTTCTATTTGACAAAAGTAAAAACAAAGTGCTCTTATGCTGATGATAACTGCTGACCTTTGATCTTGTAAGCCTAAGCATCGCTTTATCATCATCATCATCTTGGATATGTGTTACTTAATAATATTTAGCTCACCCAAATACCACGTCTGCACCTAAAAAGGCTGCCACACTTTGTTGCTGCTCTGCCAGGCGACATATCGTCTATGCCAGGTGAAGGTGCAGCAGCAAATCTGGTTAGAAACAACAGCACACAAATTAAATTAAATCGACACTTTATGACAAGCAAATATCGGCCACAGCAAGCATTTTTTAGTCGTTAGCCGAGGTGCACTGGCCTGAAGTGAGGAAATACTTTAGTCGTTGGCGGGGATCGCTCACTTTTCTTTCTATTCACTTGAGCCCTTATCAGAACGATCAAGTTTATCAGCTGCTGCTGCTGCTGCTGCTTTTCCCTGCCAACAAGTGAATGTTTACATGTTTGCTGAGTGAACAGAAAAGATCAGCAGTGTGCTTTATAAAAGAGCAGCCAATTTTCTTGCCTCAGAAAGTAGAAAGCCAGTGCTGGCTGATCTTTTTTCTCTTTTGTAAACAAAAACATTTTAGTCAGTTTAAAAAATGACCCGACTTTTGCCCATTCTCGGGCTTATCATTGCCACGGTTGCCATCTCGGTCCACTCGGTGGTGATTCGCGTGGAGAATCTGCCGGAAAAGTGCGACTACAGCAAGTGCACCGCACCGGATCCAACCAGAATCAACGTCCACCTGGTGCCGCACACGCACGACGACGTCGGATGGCTCAAGGTATTTCATTTTCATTTCCGGTTCTAGAAAAAAAACCTCAATTTCTTATTTGAACCATTTTTTCTTAGACCGTCGACCAGTACTTCTACGGACTTCGATCAAATATTCAAAAGGCGGGCGTCCAGTACATCATCGACTCGGTGATTGAGGAGCTGGTCCGGAACAAGGACCGCCGCTTCATCTACGTCGAGACGGCCTTCTTCTGGAAGTGGTGGAAGGAGCAGGACCAGGAGACGCGGGACATCGTCCACGAGCTGGTCAAGACGGGTGAGAACTGTTTGAAAAAAAATTTCTTGAGTTTGAATTTGATGATTTTGTCCTTATTCAGGCCAACTGGAGTTTATCAACGGCGGCTGGTCAATGTCGGATGAGGCGACTGTGCAGGTACTGGGCTTTTCACTTCTATTTTTACAAATTCTTTTTTAACAAACTCCTCTTTTTTCTTTCCTTCATTAGTACAACTCCTTCATCGACCAGACGACCTGGGGCCTGCGTCGACTGAATGACACCTTCGGCAAGTGTGGCGTGCCCAAGGTGACCTGGCAGATTGACCCCTTTGGCCATTCGAAGGAGCTCGCTTCGCTCTTTGCCCAGATGAACTACGACGCCGTCTTCTTCGCTCGCGAGGACTGGCAGGAGCTGCACTTCCGCCGGCAGAATAAGACGCTGGAACATGTTTGGCAGGGCTCGGAAGATCTGGGCACTGCGGGTGATCTCTTTACCGGGTAAGTAAAATTACCTCTCTTTATCAAAACCTTATCAATCTTTAATCCTCAACTTTTTTCCGCTCCCAGAATGATGGACTTTGGCTACGGCCCACCGCAGGGCTTCAACTGGGACCTGGTGGGCGGCGGCGATGAGCCGGTGATTGACAACCAGGACTCGGAGGAGTACAACGTCCCGCACATGGTTGAAAAGCTGGTGAACCTCGCAAAACGCTATCAACAGTCCTACGCCACGAAGAACGTCATGTTCCCCATGGGCACCGACTTCCAGTACCAGGACGCCCACGTGTACTTCAAGAACATGGACAAGCTGATCAACCATGTGAATGCCGGCTCCAAGGAGGTGAAGATCTTCTACTCGACGCCTTCCTGCTACGCCAAGGCCCTCCACGACTCCGTGGGCCACGCCTCCTGGACCGGAAAGGCCGACGACTACTTCCCCTACGCCTCCGACCCGCACGCCTACTGGACCGGGTACTTTGTGTCCCGAGCGGCGTTAAAACGCTTCGAACGGGTGGGAAACAATGTCCTGCAGGCCTGTAAGCAGGTGGACGTGCTGGCCGGAAACGGAGACGCCCTGGAGCGGGAGATCACCGCGTTGCGGGAGATTATGGGCGTGATGCAGCACCACGACGCGGTGGCTGGTAAGAGGGAGGGGTTTTTGGGTGTTTTTGGGAAGGTTTGAAGATTAATCCGTTTTTTATTTTAAATTTCTAGGAACTGAAAAGCAGCACGTCGCCGATGACTATGCGCGAAACCTGCACGCCGGCATTGAGGCCTGCCGAGATGTCCTCCAGCGGAGTTATCATAAGCTTCAAGCAAAGGCCACCGCCAACCTTCCGACCATTCAGAAGCAGGTCTTCTGCGACTACCTCAACGCCAGCAGCTGCTCGGCCACCGAGGCGGGCCGGAACTTTGCCGTCAATGTCTACAATCCGCTGGGCGCCCCGCTGGTGAACAAGGTCCTCCGACTTCCGGTCGCGACTTCCGGTGGAAAGTTCTACGAGGTTCTAAGTCCTGAGGGGAAGCCGGTTCCCTCGGAGCTGGTGGCCATTCCCGAGGCGGTGAGAAATCTGCCGGAGCGGAAACACTCCACAGCCACGGAGGAGCTGGTCTTCCAGGCCTCGGCCCCAGCTCTGGGCCTGGCGACCTATTTTGTCCAAGTCAGCTCAACTCGATCCGCCAACTCTGCCGCCGAAGTAAAGGGCGTGAAGATTTCCGCCGAGACGAAGTTGAAAGCCGCCAACTTTGAGGTGGTCTTTGACGCCTCGGGCGCCCTCTCAAAGGTGGTCCTCAAAAGTGGGCAGTCAGTTCCGCTGTCCAGCAACTTCCGCTTTTACAAGGGCGCCGCCGATGAGAAGGTGCGCGCCTCGGGTGCCTACGTCTTCCGCCCGCTGACGCAGGAGACCTTTAGCGCCGGAAAACTCCTTGAATCGAACCTCTTCACCAAGGAGGGCGGTGTCCACGAAGTCCACCAGAAGTACGACTCCTACGTGGAGCAGGTGGTGAGGGTGTCACCCGCCTCCGACCAGGTGGAGTTTGAGTACATTGTCGGGCCGATTCCGGTGGGCGATCACGTCGGGAAGGAGGTTGTGCTGCAGTACAGCGCGGACCTGAAGAATGGGGGCGTCTTCTATACGGATGCCAACGGGCGGCAGATGGTCAAGAGACAGTGGAACGCCCGGCGACACTTGAAGCTCAATGTGACGGAGCCGATCTCCGGAAACTACTACCCGATCAACTCGAGGATCATGCTGAAGGATGAGGCTAAGAAGCTGGTGATGACGGTGCTCACGGATCGGTCTCAGGTAAAGATTCGAAGATCTAAAAAGATAATTAAAATTTTAATTATTTTTTTGGGTTTCAATAGGGCGGCACCTCTCCGCAGGACGGCGTCCTCGAGCTGATGGTCCACCGGCGCCTCCTCCACGATGACCACTTTGGCGTCGGTGAGCCGCTGAACGAGCCGGGCGTTGATGGAAAGGGCCTGATCATCCGTGGCAAGCACGTTCTTCAGCTGTCCACCCTTGAAGAGGCCGGAAAGAGTCACCGAGAGGCGGGGCGGGAGATGTTCCTCGAGCCCATTCTCAGCTTCGTTCCCGACGTCGCCCCTTATGATGTCTTCAGCAAAAGCTACCACACCGAGGTTTCCGGCCTGACCAAGGCGCTGCCCGCTAATGTGCACCTGCTGACGCTGGAGCAGTGGTCCGGTGGGCGTCTCCTCCTTCGACTGGAGCACTTCTTCCAAAAGGGAGAACACGCTGAGCTGAGCAAGCCGGTCACCCTTTCTCTGAAGGGTCTCTTCAAGCACTTTGAGATTACCGCGGCGCAGGAGCTGACGCTGGCGGCCAATCAGGACGTCTCGGCCCTCAAAAATCGGCTAAAGTTCAAGTACACCGCCGACGGGCCGGTCACTGAACCGGCGGAGACTAAGGCCTTCAATGCGCAGACGATGGAGGTCACCCTCAATCCGATGCAGATTCGCACCTTTGCGGTGACGGTGAAACGAAACTAGGAAACACCACACTGTTTGATTTTGAAGCATTTTTTTGTTTTTAGTAAAATTAAAGTTGAAGTTCTACATGTCTAGGTCTACCCTATTCAATGCGTGTGTGTGGGGCGGGGTATAGTGTTTTCGTTTACCAAAAAAAAGTTGATAATGAAAAGGCGAGCAGAACTACCTGAGCTTTTCCTTAACTAGGCTACCCCTCTACCCCTCTAAGCTGTTGCTATTTTGCTGTTTGATGAACATTTTAAACGAGTAGAAAATGAGCGAAGAGTAGAAGAGAATCAGCTGGAATCAGTGTGAATGAGGGGGAGAATGAAAGAAAGCGAGGATAAGTATAAGTAAATAATTGAAAAAATAAAAATAACAAAAATGCATATTGCACTTTGAAAAAAAAGTGCAATATGCACCCTGCCTACGCCCCACGCCCCACTTACCTGCACCAGCCACTGCTTGCTCAGCGCCGCCAGGCTGCCCACGGTGAAGGCGAAAACGGGCGTCTCCGTGCACATCAGCTCGTGGTAGGCCATCAGCTTCAGCCGCGGTCCCAGCTGAACGGGGCCCGGCTGGAGGCGGCCACTTCCGCTTCCGCTTTGCAGTGAGGCCGCCATCTGCGAGCGGTAGAGCAGTCGGTGGTGGAGGTACAGCCGACTGGCGGTAGAGGGCAGCAGCGTGCAGGCGACCGCCCAGACGAACTGCAGCAGAATGAAGGCCAGCACGACCAGAGCGGAGTACCAGGGCAGCCGGGGGAAGAAGACCAGCAGACAGAGGAGGTAGACGTTGAGGACGAGGTGGGCGGAGAGGAGGCAGAAGAGGAGGGGCGAGAGGAGGCCCCGGTTGAAGTGCATCAGATCGAGCAGGACCAGAGAGTGGCCGGGGCGGAAGGCGGCCCAGCTGCTTTGCTGTTGCTGCTGCTCAAAAGAAATTGTTAATGGATTTGAAAAAAAACTACAATAAAGGGGAAAAATCATAGGGGCCAACCTTGTTCTTCTGTGCTCTAGTGAAGTCAACCTGCATCGCCGCCTTCACCACCCGTCGATTGACCTCGGCCAGGTGCAGCCGAAGCGCCAGCAGCACCACCAGGAGGACCTTCACGAAGAAGAGCACCTCTCCGGTGCAGTGGTGCAGGCTAGCTAGGAGGAGTGGCGTTTCAAGGAGGAAGAGGTAAAGGTAAAGGTAAAGGAAACTAAAAATTCGAAAAAATTTTCTAAATGCGCGCAGTCCCCCCTTAAGCTGCAGTTCAATTGTCTGCAGCTCGGCGAGCATCTCCGCGACGGCCGCCGACGGCCTGATGCGCAGGAAGTAGCTGAGGGCGAGCAGCGTGACGACCAGGGGCACCAGCGTCAGGCCGATCACGTGGTGGGTGGTGCTGGCGGCCAGCGTGCTCATCAGCAGGTCATAGCGAGCCGTGAAGCCGTCAGGGTCAGCGAAGGTCAGCAGGAGCAGGCGGACGGCCAGCAGGAGCAGGTAGGCGTAGTAGAGGGGCAGAAAGGAGGCCTTTAAGTTTGTTTTAGAGTTGAGGGTTTCCTCCTTCTTCACTTTTTCCCGCCTGTTTTGCTGCTTCTCAACTAGACAGGCGGCTCGAGCGCCGTACTGCGCCACCTGAGTGGCGGAGGGCGTGTAGAGGAGGAGGTGCCGTTGAAGAAAGGAGAGCACAGTTGAGGTGGTGGTGGTGGTGGTAGTGGTGGTGGTCATTTTAAGGAGAAAGGCGTTGATTTACTGGTTTTTATTTTTTTCAAAGTATTTTTTGAAATTGTTTTGTTTGACAATGTTTTTGTTAGTCAAGTTATACTGCTGAATATTTAGTTTCTTCTAACATTATTTAAAAACACATAATTTTAATATTTTAAAAGGCTAAATTACATTTCATTTGTGTCATTTCATTTGATAAAACGGTCATTTGTACTTGTTGTTTTGCCAAAATAAATTATGGCAGTTATTTTATTGATAATTTCCCGTACAATACACTTTACTCTTTAAACAAACTTAATGAAGTTTTCCAGCAATAAATTTACCATAAAAAAACTGCACTTTTACACTTAAAACAAACTCATTAAAAACTTAATTTAAACAAACGCTGGAAATATTTTGTAGTTTCCATATTTTAACAATTTTTTTATTTTTAGTTATTATACATACGTATAACTCTTGCTATTTTGCTGCTCAATAAAAAATTTAAAAAAATAAAAAATAAACGAAGAATAGAGGAGAGCCATTTAAAATGAGTAAAATAAATAACAAAATTCAAATGATATCACCAAAAAACTAGACAACCTTTAATAATGACAAATTACGCTACCAACAAATGACAAATATTTAAAAATTTTAAAAATAAAAATTGTTTAAAGAAATTTAAAATTGTTTTAGTTTTAATTACAAAAACAAAAAAATTAAGTTAAAAAAATTAATAAAGCAAAAGTTTGGTGTACTTAATTTAAATTAATAGTGAAACTTTCAGTTTGTTTAAACTTTTCTAGTTTATTTTTTTGTTTTCAATCACAATCACAGTCAAAAACTCATTTTTTGGCTAATCAAAATCAATTAGATACTTCCTTTCCTTCATCTTTCATCTGCACTTTTTGCTGTCTCAAGTTTCATCCTGCCAGACACACTGCTGGCACGATCATTTCAGTTTAGTCACTTAGTCATCAGGCTAATCAAGAGCATGGCCAAAAGTGTGTGTGTGTTGTTGTTCAATGCTGATTAGATAAAGAAGAAAGATGCACAGTTGAAAAAAATGCTTTCAGCATGCTTTTTGTTTCTGTCTCTTGTCAGTCTTTTCCAACTCTTTGTTGAGCTGTTGTTGTTGTTGTTTGTTTGTTGTTAACCAGTTGAACTTTTTGTTTTACTAACAAAACAAAAATAGAGAAAAAACAATGAAAAGAGCAACTCACAATTAATATAATATAATTTGTGCATCTTACTACTTTTATTTTGAATTAAATTATCAATAAAAACACTTTAAAAAAATGACATCTTCACGACGACGTTCAACCACCTGCCTAACTTTAACTATCAGCGTCATTTGTATCCTTTTGTTAACTCTCGCCCTGGGCATCTTCTGGTTCGCCCACTACTACTACTACGGCCCTGACGCCCAGCTGGAATCGTGCACTTATCACTGCGGCGCTGAGCGGCAGTTTCAGTCGGAGCTAGGAGAACAGTGCTCCCCCTCGGTCAAGGGCAACTTCACCACCTTTGCCGTGAGCACCGACTCGAACATCTGCGCGCCGACGGGCAAGTAAGTGCTAAGTGATTTCAATGAATCCTAGCTGAAAACTTATCAGTTAAAATTTTGTCTTTATCAGAAAAATTCTTCAACTAGGCGGCAATGCCGTCGACGCGGCCATTGCCACGCTTCTCTGCATGGGCGTCACCATTCCCGAGTCGTTGGGGCTGGGCGGCGGCTTTATGGCCGTACTGTACAATGGTACTGTACAAACAAACTACTTTGTACAAAGCTAATTTTCCTAAATAATTTTCAATTAATTTTAAACGATCATTTAAATAGCTTCAACCTACACCTCCACCTCAATCAACGCCCGTGAGGTGGCCCCTCTGGCTGCCACCCGAGACATGTTCAATCGAACCGCTTCGGCAGTGTACGGCAACTGGAACTTTACCACTTCTGCGGGCAATTTTTCTTCTTTTAAGAAAAAAGAAGACAATCGATCTTACTACGGCCTGGAGTCGATAGCCGTTCCCGGCGAGCTGGCCGGCTACTGGCACCTCTACACCCGCTACGGCTCCGGTCGGGTCCCGTGGAAGGCGCTCTTCACCGATGCCGTGCACTACGCAAGGCACGGTTTTCCGGTCAGCCAACACCTGGCGGGCGCCTTTGACGCCCTCAAGGAGACCATCTTAAGGTTGCCTTCGCTGCGGGAGGCCTACCTCAATCCGGAAACGGGTCAACTGTTCCGTTTGGGTGAAACCTTTAAGCAAAGAAGTCTAGCGAATACGCTGGACATGCTGGCAAACTCCTACAATCCGCTGGAGCTTTTTTACGGACAAATTTCCAAGCAAATTTTAAACGATCTTTTCAAGCTGCAGTACCAGTTTCCCGGACAGGAAGTGCTGCTGACCAGGGAGGACTTTGCCGCCTACGAGGTGATTGAAAAACGATCTTTTACCACCGATTTTGGAACGGGTCAGCTGAAGTTGCACACGACGCCCCTGCCAACGGGCGGCATTCTGGTCAGTTTTTTGTTGAGGGTGATGGACCGCTTTGTGGACCTTTTCCCGGCGGCCAAGTTTGACCACCGAAAGGCGGTCCTTTTCTATCATCGCTTCCTGGAGGCGAGCAAGTTTGCCTTTGCCAGCAGAGCCTACCTTGGCGATGACCGCTTTGACGATGTAGATGAGGTGTTGAAAAATTTGACTTCAGAGCGGTACATCGTGGAGATTGCCAATCGAATTCAGGCGGAGGATGATCGAACCTTTTCCAGCTACAGTACACACTATGATTTGAAGGTAGGTTAAATTGAAATTTTTTATAATCTTATCAAGATAAAAACATTGTTTTTTATTTAAATGTACAGAAACAGTACAACGAGGTCGATTTTGGCACGGCCCACGTGTCGGTAATCGACGGCGAGGGCAACGCCGTGGCCGTCACCTCGACCATCAATCACTAGTAGGAAAAGTTGTCATTTTTTTTGTTTATCAAAAAGCTTATCAATTTTTTGTTTATTTATTTATTTTTCACCAGCTTTGGCAGCAAGGTCCTCTCCCCCTCTACGGGCATTCTGCTGAACAACGAGATGGACGACTTCAACAGCGGCCGAGCGAATCGCTTCAGCATCGCCAACTCCAAGGCAAACAGCATCTACCCCGGGAAACGCCCCCTTTCCTCCTGCTCGCCGGCCATCTTCACCGACCCCTCGGGAGTTCGCCTGGTGCTGGGAGCCAGCGGAGGCCCGAGGATTATCACCGCCGTGGCGGCCACCGCCCTTCGCCATCTGTGGTTCGGCGAGGAGATCAAACGGGCGGTGGATGGTGCTCGCCTTCACCACCAGCTCTTCCCCGAGAAGGCCACCTTTGACGTCTGTTTTCCGCCGGAAGTGGTCTTTGCGCTGCGCAGGCGAGGTCACAATGTGACGCAGCTGAACAGGGGCTTCCGGGGGTCGGTGGTGATGGCAGTGAGCCGGGCGAGAGACGGACGGTTGGAGGCTAATTCGGACTTTCGGAAGGGCGGTTCGGTGGATGGAGTTTAACAAAAGAGAAAAGTTTTGTTTTTATTTTTAAATTGTTAACATTTTTTTTGATTAATTGTTTGATTTTTTTTGCAAGCCAAAAACTAAAAAACTTTTTTAACAAAAATTACAGTTCAGGTTTGTTGATGACGCCCGCAAAGAGGGTCACAGTAGCTGCTGATGATGACATTTTCTCGCGGATGAAAATCGCAAAGGGCCGGTTAAAGGCAATCAACCGAGGCTGGGCGAGGGTCCTCGAGGCGGCGGCCACGCCCCCGGTGACTGCCGAGGCAATCGTCCCTGACTCGTTTATCTCCAGCGCAGTTCGGTGCAGCACTTCAGAGAGGTAGAGCCTCTCTGGACCGGAAGTGACACCGGTCAACCGGGTAAAGTTGGCCTCATTCTCGCGGAACGCCTGCTCAATGCCCAGCGCCTCTAGGGTGGCCTTTAGTTTCAGCGAAGTGGTCAGCTTGAATTTTGGGAGTGCAAGGCGAATTTTCCTCCTCTTTTCCTTTGCCAGTTTTCCGATTCTCGCCTCTAAATTCATTGAGGGCAAGGTAAAGGCTGAACTGAGCAGTTGAGGTTGATTCTCCTTTGGCAGGAAAAGATAGGCACTGAATTGTTCCCTGTTGTAGGGCAGCTCCACCAGCGTTCCATCGTCAAAGTCGGCGAAGGCCACTGATGCTCGGCCGTTCATCATGCTGACGTTCACCTGGGAGGTTCCATCAGCCAAGGTGAAGGTGGCCGTCTTGGTGCTCTCCAGGCTGAAAGGACTCTGCCAGTAGCCTCGAAAGTAGACGGCGTTCAGGAGGACCATGCGGACCAGTGTGTTCAGCTGGGTCTTCTCCTCCTCTTGTTCTTCAAACAGCTTCGGAATCTGCCCCTCGGTTCGGTTGTTCACCCAACTGTTTATTGTTTCAACTGCTTCTTCGCCTCGATGCTTGAAGTTGACCTTGAAGAGGGCGGAGTTGAACTGCTTTGTAATTACATCGGAAAACGGCTGCAAGAGGGGCGTCTCCTCGTGAAGGGCAACGGCGTTGGCTATGGAGAGTTTGTTGGCCAGTTTAGCTAGCTTGGAACGGAGAGATTCTCCGCTTTCCGGTTTGGCTGTTGTTGTTGTTGTTGCTGGAATTGATAAGGATGAGAGAGCAGGGGCGGCTGGAACCAGTTGAGCCAGAAGGGCTTGATAAGCGGCAAACTGCTCTACCTCAGAGGTGGTGGTGTTTAAACTGTGAAAAAATTGATAAGTTTTGTTGTGCAAATTAGATTTGATAAAGGATTCGTTACCCTAGAACTGATCGCATCTCCGCCAGCGTTTGTCCATCAGCTCCGGCGGTGAGCATTGCCAGCACCGTTCCAATGCTGAAAGGCGAGATGAAGACATTTTGAGCGGGTTTTTCTGCCTCCAACTTTGATAGCAGCTTAATGGTGAAGGCGTCATTGGCGGCTGAAAGTGCTGAAAAGGGGGAAATTGTTGTTGGCAAGTTTGGCAAATCAGAAACATTGTTGGACCCTGTTGATGATGGAATTTGCTGTCCAAAGACACAGCTGGCCAGCAAAGGCAAAACTAATGAAATTAAACTTTTCATTTTAAAAAAACGCCGTACAATGTACAAAACAGTATAGAAAAAGATATTTTCCTAAAGTTTTTGCCTGTTCAATTTATACATCGTTTGCTGAGTTGTGCACCTTTTGCTTTTTTAGATTAAAAAGTTAAATGAAAGGCTTGTTTTGAAAGATTTAAGTTGATGATAAAAGAGCAGTTACAAGTGCTAGGAAGAACTTGAGTGTGCAGTGATAAACATCTTTATTCAAGGTCAACCAAAAACGCAAAAAAACATTGTTTTTAGATTGAAGATAGTAAACCTGAAAAGTAAAAACCAAAACAACAAAATAAAAAACTGCACCAAAATAAAACGTGTTTTTTATTATTTGACACAAAGTGCACTGCAAACTTTTAAAACAGATTTTGTTTAAACTTAAATAATTAAAATTTGAGTAGTTGTTGTTAGTGAACAGGTGCTTTTAGCATTGCCCATTATTTTTAAAACTAACAAAAAGTTTTTATTTAGTGCCCAATAAAGGAAAAGTTTAATCAAAAAGACTTTTTGTTTAATTGTAATTGACAAAAAAGTGGTAAACAATATTTTTTAAATTAGAGCAATTAAACTGACAATTAATGTTTTTGTCAAATTTCAAATGTAAAAAAAGTAAGTTAGTTTATGGATTTTTTATTTGCACAATTTTCCTAAAAAACATTGAGTAATTAAACTAAATATTAAAACAAAAAAATAAAACAAATATTTTAATGTTTTACCTTACTTAAAAATAAAGTTTATGTTTTGCAAATAAATTTAAAACTAAAGTTAAAAAGTTAAACTGTCAGTGTTTTTAAAATTAATGCGTTCTTCAAATGCAATTGTTTTACAAAGAAAATGAACTAGCACAAAAATCGATCAAGCAAAAGTAGTGCTCTTTTGCGTAAAATGTTTTTGTTTTTTAGATAACAAGACAACTCTATTAACTTTTGTTTTTAAAAACAAATAATAAAGTTATACACTTTTTAATGCTTAAAAATCTAAAACTGCCGCAAATGCCGCAAACGTTCATGGATTGCACTGAATTTGTTGAGTTTCTTCTACAATTCACCCTGATAAGCGTGTCAGTCTTCTTCTTCTACCACGTCTTCACCACCATCACCGCAAGCATCACCATTGCCGTCTTTATTATCATCATACTGAACTTGTATCAAATGCTTCATATATGAACTATGTGTGTAATTTTATTTGTTTCGCTTGTTCAAGTTTAAACTCCAAAAAAATACTCGCACAAAAAAAAGTTGGTTACCACAACGGTCGGTGCTCCTTTGACTGGAGGAAAAATCGCTTTCCAGTCGGACTGTTAACACCCTTCACCTTTTCCTTGTACTCAATTGCCTTTGGACCTAGAATGGCCGTCTCACTACCACCGCTGCTGCTGCAACTTCCGCTTTTGAAGGCGGAAAAACTTTCGCACGCCTTTGCTTCAGGATTCGTTTCCGAGCCAATGGCGTCCAGGTAGAACTCGTAGGCTCGCATGTGAGAGCAGGCAAAGGACTTCCGGAGCCTAAACGGGTAAGTTTAATTTAAGCTTTAAAACCTTTTTTAAAATTAAAAAAAAACTTTAAAACTTACTCGCTGGTCCTCTCCTCATTGCAGCCGGGCTGAGTGGCCACGCCGCCGTTCGGGTAGAAGTCCAGGTGACCGGTCGTCTCCCACATGCCCAGATTGTTGCCGTCAGTGTGGATGACATCGACGAACTGGGCGTCAGTCGGCCAGAGGCGGTCCCAGCTGGGCCGACCCTGAAAGGAGGGCCCCGCCGGGTCGAGGCCGGTAATCCGGCCCAGCGCCCCCTTGAGGTGCTTTCCCGCAAAGGAGACCAGGTGGCCGCCCAAGGAGTGACCTAGAAGGTGAAAGGAGCCAGCAGAGGCGTTGGTCGTCTGGCCCAGCAGCTCAATCTCCCGACCGACCATGGCGCCCACCAGCTTGGCATTAGCTACGGCCACCGGGTAGAAGCCTCGATTGGCGTTGCTCCAGTCGACGATGATGACGTTGACGTCTAAAATGATGAAAAAATGTTGGTAATAAAGTTATCAGTTAATTGATAAGAGCCTTACCTTCAGCGTCGAGCATCCTTCCCGCCATCTCCTCCATCCACTTTCCCCGGCTGCTGCTGTCAAAGTAGCCGTGGGTGATCACCTTCGTCGGAACGGCGCCGTTGAAGTGCGACGCCTCGATGCTGCTCGAGCTTTGGTACTTCAGCGTTTCAGGGGCATTGTTGCCTCGGTTAGCTCGAGTGTACAGGTAGAAAGTTGGCTCGAGCCAACTTTGGGCAAAAGAAGAGGTAACAGCGATTGCCAGGGTGGCAACAATTACCAAGTTTAGCTGATTTGTCATTTTTGTTGTTTTTTGTTTTGATTGGAAAACAACGAAAGAAAAGATGATTTTCACAGTAAAAACTAAAGCTTTTTTTATACTTGAAAAATGCTAGTGTTATCAGTTTTAAGCATTTTTCTCAAACACCTGAATTTCCTTTTTTGATACTTTTTTTACGTCAGTGGCCGTATCACCTGGTGCTACTTTTGTGAACACAATTTAACTTTTTTAAGAGCAAAAAGGTAACTTTTGGGTCAACGGCAGCTTGATATTGTCTGTTCGTCTGCTATCAATCAGTTTGAAATTGTTTTGCGTCATTGTCATTTACGTAATTGCATTGTTTGATATTTTTGAAAACACATGTGATAACAGGTGGTTTTTTGTTATCTGTTTTTGTTTCAAGTGATGCAATGGAAAAATATTGTTTTTGTGAATGAACAAATTGCATACTTTTTAAATAATGATTTTATTAAACATTTTTGTTAATAAAAAAAATCTATTTTTAGCATCAAAAAAGGAAATGAAAAATGACCCTAAGTTTAAGTGCACATTTTGGACGTTTCAAGAAAATTTTGTGTTTCAGTTAATTGATTGATTTTTACCACAACAGACAAGCAATAGCAATAAAGTCAACGACTGAGTAAATAACGAGTGACTTTTGTTTTTTCTACAATTTTTCCTAGTAAATAAACAATAGAAAAATGTAAATAGTTATAAGGTTGTTGTATAAAAACAAAAAAAGTTATAACTTTGCAGTAGAGCGACAAAATGAAAAAGTTAGTTTAGTTGAATAATTTTATGTGCATTATGCAGTATATTCAACTTAAAAATGAAGTTAATTTTATTATTGTTCTTTACACTTTTGCTTCTGCAACTAAGCTACAGTAAGTAAAAAATAAATGTTTTACATTTAAAAATATAAAGTATATTTTTTATCAAGGCAGACATGGCGGTCATGGAGGTCATGGTCATGGTCATCATGGCTTCTATGGTCATTATGGTCATCACCACGGATTTCATGGGCACAGCCTGTTTTCGCATCTTGAACCCGAGCATGGTCATCACAACGAGATCAACCACCATCACCACCACGAACACCACCACCATCACCACATGCTTGATGATCTAGTGGAGCCAGAGGGAGAGCACTAAAACATTAAAAATTAAAATTTTTTAAATGCATTTTTAAATTTTTTGCATTTTATTAACTTAATGCTAAAGTTGTACTAAGTAAAAGAGTTTTTAAGATTAGTTTGGTAAAAAAGTTTTAACATTGATTTAAACTGCTAACACTTGAGAGAAACACAAGTTGACATAAACATAAGTAATAACTATCGATTATTGTATAAAACTGTGGACAATATAAATTTATAAATTTTTAATTTACAACTAAATAAATTGCGTCATTACTAAGCATTTATTACATTGTTTTCGTTACTGCCCACACACACAACTCGGCTAAATGAAGCACAATCAAAACATAAAAGCACTTAAAGCGTTGTTAGTCCATTTGCAGAGTACTGGTAATTTCTTAGAATGTTTGCAATAAAAAGAAAACAAGCTAAAGATATATTTAAAAAAGTTTTTAAAATGTTTGTTTGCCGCCTGAATTTATTTTTTTAGTGCAACTCAAACTTTAAATTTTAAACAAAAAGTTTTAAGTTGTTCAAGTTTGTGAACTTAAAAAATAAAACAATTTTATTTTCTGAAACACTACTGCCAACTTTTATTAAAAATGTAATTTTAAAATACAACAAATGCAAAAAAATCATGGCTTTAAAACACTTTTTCTTTTTTCTTGCTCCCTTCAACAAAAACCTTTCTTTTTTCACTGCTCACTTAAAATTGATTGAAAATGTTAAATCTAAAAACAAAAGTATTTTGTTTCAATACAGCATTTTTCAGACAATTATTGCACTCCACTCACTTCGCTGTACCGTACTGAAGTTTGCCCCCTTGTCAGAAAAACAGCGAATTATCGCCTGTGATCTAATCTACTTTTTCTACAATGAACACTTTAACCTTTTAGCGGCACTTGTTTTCGGAACGTTCCCTTACATTGTCCACCTTCTGGTGAACAGGCCAAACACCAAAAACTGCCAACTTTTGGCAGATATAGTTCTGAAAGGTGATGACCGCTTTTTCATCTACAAAAATGTTTCCATTTCTGGCAACAGCAATACCTCAATCTGCAAAAGGCTGCAGAAGAAGATGCTGCTTATTTACAACCTTACACAGTGCTTCCTCTTTTCTTTTGGTAGGTAAAAAAGGTGTTTAATTTGCTGAAAATGTTAAAAAAAGTTTTGTTGCTTAGAAATGATCTCCATTCCTGTCTGTCTCCTACTTCGATACGTCTTCTTTGAGCGCCTCATTTCTCAAACTGATCCCCATAGGCTTCTTTATCTGCTCAGCTTTTCGCTGCACGGCGCCCTCTTTCTCTACGGCCTTTTCGCCTACACCTTCGCCTTCTCCTATCTGATCACTCTCGGCTACATGCAACTGCACGTGCTGGTCATCAAGCTGAAGCAACTCGCAGTCTGGGCTACCCTCTTTCAAAACCGCAGAAAGCTTATCAGTTATCACTTTTACACCTTTAGAAGGCACCTGATTGAGGTGGTGGGCCACTTTGCCGAGTACAACCGCCTCTACGGCCAGCTGTTCACCGTCTTCCTCGTGGTCAACTGCCCCATAAACGCCAAGTTCATTATTGCCCTTCTCTTTGAGAACTTGCCCGCCTTTGGTCAGGCCTATGCGCTGCTGTACAGCATTGTACAGCTGTTTGGCTTTGTGGTCATGCACTACTACCTGGCCGGCTACTCGAAGACCTTCCATCGACCGGTGCGCCTGCTTCTCCGTAGTAGTCGGCTGCGACTTCATCGGACGGGCGACTTTAGGACAAAACTTCGAGTTTCAAACTGTATATCTGCCTTTGTCAGTAAGAAACGACCGTACGGTGTGACGTACGGTCGCTTCGGAGCAGTCACGATGAAGTCTTTTGTAATGGTAGGAAAGGAAAAAAAGTTTTAGGTTTATTTTTAAAAACAGCTTTTTTCTTCATCTAGTTTCTTCTTATCTACAGCAAGTTTCTGATGACCATCTACCGGCTGACGTCTGCAGCAGCAGCAGCAGCAATTTCTTCTTTAGCAGAAGTTTCTTCTTCAAATACTAAAATAGTGTACAAAAAATAAAATTATTGATTTGATTTGTTGTTAGTTTGAAAAAAGTTTATTATTGTTTTTTATTTTAGTTTAGTTTAACCTTGCACCTGAAGAGGAGAAGGAGGAGGAGGAAAAGGTAACGTATGAGTTTGTGAGTTGCTTGCAAACGCTTTTAAAAGTATTTTTAGGTCAAGCTCATTTAGTAAATTAATTGTCAGCATTAATTTAATTTTTGTTTAAAATTGTTTGCTCTGTAATTAAGTTTGTTTATATAATCATCATTAATAATTAAAAACAACTATTTGTTTGCTATATTTAGTGAGTGAACAATATTTAAAAAATTTGTTTTTAAACTGTTTGATTTCAACTTTAAAAATATTTTTTGTTTGCAAAAGCAATTTTGACCCATAACTAACCAGCATGATTTTATTTATCTTGATTTTAGCTGTGATCCAAAATCGAAAAAGAAGCAAAGAGCAGCACAAAAGTGGCAACAACAAATAGCAAAGATTTTCTTTTATTTTTGACTGTATACTTTGCATCTTGTAACCACAAGACTCTTCAACAACTTGAAACATAAAAGTGTCAGTTTTTTTTCTTCACATCACAAAAATCTTTGCACCAACAGGTTTTGCACGTGAACACGCGGCAGCAGAAACAAATGGGCTCATAGTACGACAGCTCGCCAAGTGGTTGATAAACGACGAGCAAAACTGTCTGTTTGTCTGCAAAAAGAAAGAGTGATGGCGATAGTAACAGCTTTAACAGAGAAAAAGAGAGAGACAAAGCTGAAATATGTTAAAAATAGTTGTTGAATGCACCGTACAATGTTGGCGCGCTGCTCACTGGTTTGTTGCAAAACAGAGAGTGGTGTTTTCTTCTTCTCCTTCTTTAACACGGCAAGAGGTAAACATTGAAACAAAACTGCATACTACTTGTGTTTTTTAAAAACTTCATTTAAATTAAAAAATTAAAATCATGAAACCTCACAAGGAAATAATTTCCTTACTGTTGTGTTGCGCCATTTTTATTTTATGCTCAGCATTTTCAATTTCAATAGCTGTTGCTGCTGCCGCCGCCGCAAACAACGACACAGAAACTGGCGGAGCAATTGAAGCAAAAGAAGTAGAATCACTTGAAGACATTCTCAACAAAACGTTTCCGGAAAACTACGACAAGCACACCCGACCGATGATCAGAAATGACACCTTCAACGTGGAGGTCGCCGTCTACGTCGAGGACATGGCCCGCGCGCTGTGGAGCGACTTTCTGGTGCGCGACCTTTTTTTGCACATATTTTTTCTGAACAAAAAAAGTTTAAACTTCGTTTACTTTTTTTCCCCTTTTTTCAGGAGCTAATCCTCACCCTGAAGGTCAGCCAGTCGTGGACCGACAATCGCCTTCGGCCGTTCACCAACAACCAGGGTCGCCGGCCAAGGAGCAGTCTGGTGGTTCCGGCGCCGCTCCAGGAGCGCTTCTGGCGGCCGGACACCGGCTTCGGCCTGGACGAGGAGCAGAAGATTCTCTTTCCGGTGCTGGAGGTGCACTCCAACGGGACGGTCAACTTCGAGCAGGTCGTCGTCACCAAGATCTACTGCCCGGTGGAGTACACGCTCTTCCCCATGGACCAGCCCAACTGTACGCTCCTCTTTGGCAGCAGTAAGTGCAGACTGGTTCTGAATTGTTGAACTTGAGTACTTCTTTTCAGTTAAAAAGAAGTTCACCTAGTTTAACACTTACTTATTTAAAACACCTTTTTTTTAGGCTCCGACACCAGCCTGCGGTACCGCTGGAAGGAGGACCGCGCCCTGAAGCTCGACTACTTCCCCCGCCTGCCCCTGCCCGGGCTGATCGTCCTCGGGT